TAATTCTTCATTTTTAGGTACTTCCAAATTTGTCTTAAGAAGTCATTATTTAAATATATCTAGAAACTTTTAAATAATTCAAATTCTTAGGCTGTAGTATGCCCATAACTAGATTTTGTTGTCATTATCGCCTATCGAAAAAATAAAGCGATGAGATGCTTAACTTTCCCGGCAACATTTAAAACTGCGTGTGTGGCGCCATCTGTTATGATATTTTATTTAAAAACTTTTTAGATTTTTAATTATTATAAAATGACAAAAAGTTTAATTTGGAGAATAGGGATGGGTTTTATAAAAAATTGTCATTAAGTAAAATCGTCATTAAGTCAGACCCTACTCGATATGACACGACCCTCTTTATCTCTCCACCCCGTCGACCTTTAACTACCAAAATTTAATAGCACCAATTTCCCTAATACACAAATCTCACTGCAAAATTTCAGAAATTTTCAACAAAAACACAGGAGTTACTAAGCTTCAAATAAAATCGTGCCTCTCACGCACTAATATCTATACATACAGAAAAAACCCCAACATACATTTCTGACATTTCAAGGTTCATTGAGTACAGAAATGTAAAAATCTTGAGGAATCATTTTTTGACCGATTGCCATTCTTTCCCTCGGTATATACTGTGTAATAGAGCCTGGAAAGAAAAAATTGAGTCGTGCATGCGTCCCACTTTTAATTGTCTGCTGTTCCCTTTATTCATTTATATCATCATGTGACCGGAGAGAACTCTTTGGCACATGTTGAGAATAGCTGCTCTAGAAGAGTTAATTAATAAAAGCATAATCCTCTACATAACGGAGGCTTACCAAAAAGGAAAATTCTGGTTGGCAGATTTTTACTGTGGTTAATATATCTAAGCTTTTTATCTGATATTTTTATAATTTATTTTATATGAAATAATATACATTTATTAAATAAACAGTAGTATACATTGCGGTATAATTGTCTGCATATTTATAAAAAATTTAAACAAGTAGAAAACTATATTTCTCTTTGTTTTTCAAATATTACCACATATTAACAAACAGGTTTGTTTATTTTTTAACTTTAAATTGAACAATAACTTTTTAACATAATTATATTTGCCTTTGCTAGGATGGATGAATTATTTCTGGATAATAAAATTTTCTAACTTCAATTTTAATAAGTATAGATCAAAAATAAACGAAAACATACATTTATTAAAAGAAATTTTAGATCTACTATTAACTATACAGTAGAACCCCTCTAATCCGTCACCTTTGGGACTGGGGTTATGGTCGGAACGCAAAAAAGGTCGGATTATCAGAAAAAAGTAAAATAAACAATCTTCCCCTTTGTCTAGTCTTTGTAGCACTGCTAATTTTTCATTTAATGAAAGAGTAACGTGTTAACGTTTCACTCCTGACATGTTGAAAACACACACAAAACTGTACATGTACACACAATTTAAAACATACTGTAACGAACACAGAAAAACACCATGGACGGTGAGTCACCGACGAGTCGGGACAAGTTTCTCGACTCCGACCACGGTCGGATTAACCGGAGTGTCGGATTAGCCGAGGGCGGACTAGAGGGGTTCTACTGTAATTTAAATAAATATAATAAAATTTAAAATATTGAATCATATCTGCATATCCCTACTTGTAAATTTTTAATTATTACAAATTTTAGTTTTAGCAAAAAAGAGAGAAAAAAATTGCATTGCCAATCTAGCACGTGTTGCCTCTTGTTACCCAGATTACGTAGAATTAAATCTGCTTCTGTTATGGGATATTTGTTTGTCTGTTCGTAATGAAATTTAGAAATCGCATCTGTTATCACCAAACTATATGACGTAACGCTTAATTAATTAATTTAATTATTTTGTTTTTATTTGAAATAATTATGCATTCTGCAGATTGCAAACTGTATCGGAAAGAATGTATCTTATAATATAATCGAGGTGGATTGATAATAATAAGCGCAGAGCCCAAACGGTTAGGAGTTGATAGTTGAAATTTGGTACACAGTTAGGGTATGCCATGAGAATGCACACTAAGAAGGGAATTTTAGAAATTCCCTTTCGCGGGGGAGAGGGCGAGGGTTAAGGATTACCCTGAAGAACTCTGCTTCTATTGTACTATTTTAGATGCGGTATTTTGCGTTTTTTGCGGGAAATATTTTTAGATCCATCTAAAAATTTTCTAATTAGCCTTAGAAGAAGGGCACCTAATTCTTGCACTCGATGAAAACGGGTAAGATCGGCTTTATAACTATAAAAGTTATTGTAAGAGTTTATCACACCGAATGACCAATCCAAAACATTTTAAAACTTCTTTATTCCTCTACTGTACACAATTTAAAGAAATTTTAAAATATGTTATACTGGGCACTCGTTCTGAAAAACTCATACGTCAGACAACCTTTGTAAATATAAATCAAATACTATAATATAATATAGTAGAAGGGTTAGAAATACGAAATAATCTAATAATCTTGGCTATTGTTATTTTTTGCCCGAGGAATGCCGGACTCATTTGCTACTATATGAGTAAAATAATTATTTTAAAAATTTACGAATTTTATGAGAAATAGCTATAGGAAAAAAGCCTTATATAAAATAATAATTAATTAAATCATAATTAGATTATCATTTCGAATTATTCTAAACCGAATTTAACATTCCTCTAAAATGCAGTTAAATTAAAAAACTACAGCAAAAATTAAAGATATTAATAATCAGTTAATTTACACATTGAGATAAAACTTAAGATTACCAATAAAGTTTAACTTTTATATACAGTAGGCCTTCAATTTAATGGACTAACAGCAGATACCCTTTTCCCAGTTAGGGGAAAGAGTATCCGCTGTTGCTGAAAGACCGTTAATTAAATCGAATACGTTCTAAAAAATACAGTATATTAATTAATGTAGAACTTAAAACATACAGGACGTATTAATTAAAATGTTATTACAATGTATAAATATGAATAAAATATTATTTTAAAATACATTGAATAATTTACATTCATTAACTCATTGACCTATCTTTTAGAGTGTTTTATCCACGAATAAAAGTTATAAATTTTTCTTTTAAGACAAAGTATTTTGCCCGTTAAATCCGAAGTCTGATAAATCGAGGATTTATTGTATTTGAATAAGATCAAGAAATCGTTATTTTGATTTATTTATTTCGTAAATTATACTTCATAACTTTATTAATAGCAGTCATATGAAAATTATTAATCTCGATTTATACATTGCTTAATTTATCTGCAAAAGTTTTTACTATTTGCAATTTTAATCAATTGTCTTTCATGTGTTCGGAGAAAATTTCTTTAGAATATTTCGAATATTGTCTAATGGAAAAAGATTAATTCATTTTTCATTCCTCTGAGGAAGATTGAATGAAAAACATTATCTAAACAGTAACAATAATTCAATTGATCTCGATATTTATTTAAAATTTATTGTTTTATAAGGCATTCCTGAATGAGAAGGATGGAATTATATTTTTATTCGAACATCATGCTTGTTACATGCACACCTAATGTTATAATGTTAAGAATAATGCTGTGTATTACATAAATATTTCACATTTCAAAATAATTATCAACTTTCCCATGCTATTCTTCACCAAGAAATTTTTTAAAAATAGCTCCCTAATATATTTTACCCTGAAATTTTCCTAGTAAGCGAAAAATTTCCCCCAGTTTAATAGAAGTTCCTGACCTGATACACTGCATTCAGTGCATAATTTATTATTTCCGGCTTTTGAAATATTTTCTTTATAGGATTTATTTATTCAAAATCCTATAAGAATTATTCAAGATTAATAAAACGTTTAGTTTAAATATGAAAAATCACGATAACAGTAATTATTTATGCAAGTTTAAATTAAAATGACCAGTATTATTTTCGTTATTAAATTGTAATCTATTAATGTTGATGTCTAATATATCCTGTAATATTTTAGTTGCATTTGATAAAATTTGATCGTTATATTTAGTATGTTTGAACTTGTTTACTTCACCTAGAATGAAACGAAGGAAGTTATATGACTCATCAAAATTACTACTTGCTTTGCAATAACTTCATATCAGTAACAAAACCATTTTTGAAATTGTATAAATATTTATAGAACTAAACAGAATTTAAATTATCCACTCTGTCTAAAATCAGTTTAGAATCTTTTAAATTATTCTATTACTTTTATTATAATTATAGTTTTACTGATGTTATCTAATGTTTTATTTTCTTATTACATTCTTCATATTCATTTATTCAGAGTTTATATATTTATATTTTCATTATTATTATTTTTACTATTAGAATTTGAAATTTAAATATGGATGAAATGAATTTATGCTCAACATTCTTTACAAATAAACGTGGTAGCAAGCCCACTTCGATAATAGAAGAAAATAATTCATATCAAAATAGAACAGNAAAGTGTCCGGATTACCGAAAATAATTACATATTTCGCATTGTTTTGCTAGCAGTAACTTACAATATTCTCTACTCCAACTGTTCGAACAGAACTGCTCACATAAAACACACGAAATGTGTGTCATCGAGAAAGAATTGGATGGGGAGATTCACATCGCGACATGCTTCTGTGCAAGCAGACACGTAACGGGGACGGGTACCTTGACGGGAGGTGCGTCGGATTACTGAGCATGTCGGATTAAAAAACGTCGGACTATAGAGGGACAACTGTATTAAAAATAATCTGTGTATTAGTGATGACTGATGAATAAGGTTTAAGTGACGTTTACATTTAGGAATAATTCGTACAAGAAACCTCTACTTATGAGAAATCCTATGTGTAAACGATGTTTATACATACATAAGACTTCCCATACAAGTAGTGTGTTCTTATAAGAGTTACTCCGAAACGTAAACGTCGCTTAATAAATAAATTAAAATAAATATATATTTTTAAAATATATTTATTAAGCGACGTTTACGTTTACGTTAAATATATATTTAAAAATAATACAAATAGAAGATGAAAAAATTTCTTCACTTTATTAACTTTTTCATGCACGTTTTCATTATTCTATCCGCATAATCATCAGTCGAATTCCAGACAACCTGGATAAATCATTTTACTTTTTCCATTTGTGTAAAAACTTGGAAGATTCTGTCAGAATAATCGTTAAAAAAATCAAATTTAATTCCTGACCGTATCTATTTCTTTTCTTAATATCTTAAAAAGAAATTAATTCAAATATCAATTAGACAATCTAGGTAAAAAGAAATGCCAACAAAAATTTGAAGATAATATTTTTCGTAATATTTATAAAGTACAGTATCTTCAAATTAATTCTAATGAATCTAGTGATTGAGTCTAATTTTCAAATTAAGTCATCTATTTTTATAAATAAAAATTAAAAATAGTGTATTTTTAATGTAATTTAGCAATATTTATTCAGATATATTTTCTGCTAGGCTTACTTGAACACTCTATGTAAAAATTAAGGAAAACAGTATAGAAAATACATAGGCCTAAACCGTATTTCCTCGATTTTAAGACGCACCATGAGTTTGAAATTGAATTTTAAGATTTTTTTCTTATGAGAGGAAAATTTTAAAATAATCAATCTTCAAAGTAACCATACGTTAGGAAAAACAATACAAGTGCCTTGTTTGACTGCTCTATTTTCAAGACAGGAGTTACTCTGCCTGTCGCAAAATTCGCAATTTGAGAAAATTTTATTCATCTGACGATTAGAGTACAAATAGTCAGAGTAGTCTGCAAAAAAAAAAAAAATACTCATGGAAAAAAGTATACAGAACATGAATTGGTCTTGGTTTGATACAATTTTACTATTAATAAACAAAAATAAAGTTGCTTGAGAAACTCAGTCGTAAAAACTCTGCATTTTGTTTTTCCGGCTGATATATATAATAGGGAAAGTATGGCAATCGGTCAAAAAAATGACCTCCCGAGATTTTTATATTTTTGGACTCGGGACCTTGAAACGTCGAGAAACGTCGGGTTTTTTCCTGTAAGTACAGATAGACGGTCGGATAGCTGAGCGATCAATGTGGCGCCCTACCGCTCTGAGGGACACGGGTTCGAATCCGAACGGGTCGAAATATCCCCCAGGAATTTTTCGGGGGTGGTCCGTCCGGATATGTCGGGCCCCGTCCCTCACCACCCGATCTCCCATTATGGGCCTGGCCGAACCCAAAAGAGCTAAAAAGAGGCCCTCTTATTGCCCACAGGGCGGAAAGAGTTAAAAAAAGTACGTACGGATATTAATGGGCACGATTTTGTTCACCCTGTTCGAAGCTTAATAACTTCTATACTTTATGTCAAAAATTTCTGAAATTTTGCGGGCAGGTTTTTGTATTAGGGGGATTGATGCTATTAAATTTTGGTAGTTAAAGGTCGACGGGGTGGAGAGATAAAGAGGGTCATGTCATGTCATATCTCGAGTAGGGTCTGACTTTATAGCGATTTTACTCGTTATTAGCATTTATAGTTTTTTTTAAACCCATCCCTGCCCTCAAAATTAAGATTTTTTTTGCCATTTTATAAAATTAAAATGTTCTTTTAAATAAAATATCGTAACAGATGGCGCCACCAAATGTTACCGGAAAAGTTAAGCAACTCGTTGCTGGATTTTTTTAAATATTGTCAGTCATCCTTTCATTTCTGGTTGGTACAAAAGTCACAGTAAGCGAAAAACTAACCTGGCGAATATCTTTCTATTTTGGCGAATAAATAATGTGTTTGGCAAATGGATTGGCGGTTGCTATAAAAGAGCCATGGTGACTCCTGCATGATCTCCTGCACATACGTAACTATTCGTTTAAATGCTGCAACATAATGTCATCTTGAATGCTTCCCATACGTTAAAAGGCGTTTAAATTAAACGCTCATTATCAGAAAAACTCACTTAAACTGATGTAAACATTGAGCAGTATATCCGAAAACTCGAATGGGTGCACCAGTTGATCTACTCGCGACAGCTGCTGATTGTTGTTTTGGACTGTGAATATAAGATAACATCGATTAAAAGATGCAACCCTATTCAGGACAAAAATGGGTAAAAGAAAGTGCCTCTTAGAATCGAAAATATATGATATTTAATTATTGTAGATTTTTACTTAATAATTATTATACTTATAATATCAATAGATTTATTATAAATTATATTATTATTATTGTATAATAATAATAATATTATTATTGTATAATAAGTATTTTCCAGAAATATATTTTCTGTAAAAAAATAGATATATGAATTCATGATATTATGGAAAGTAAAAGATACGTCTGCTGATTAGATTTTGTTTCTGGAATTACGTTTTGTGAATAACATGATATCCATAAAAGATACCTATTTTGGATATTTTCGTTTATTTTGTGATATGTAGGCCTGTTAATAATGCATACAGTATTTATTAAGAGGCTGTGAAACTGAATAAGATTTTTATTGTAAAAATAGTTTAGCATTGTATTTTAATGTTAAATAAAAACTTAAATCTGAAAATCGATCTCCACGTATGATAAGCCCTGAAAAAAGACGTCATAGTCCTAAAAAGATTAATTGTAACGAAATAATTAATATGTATATGTTACCGGCAAAGTTTGAAATCCGGCATTCTATAGAATGCCTAGGCATTGTATATAATGCCTAAAACTAGCCGGCAATCTATGAAACGATTTATATTTTACAGATTTCCTAGGCATTCTATAGAATGCCTAGGTATTATATACAATGCCTAGGGAAAGTATGTAATAATTCTCATATTTCATAGATTGCCTAAAAACGCCAGGCATTATATACAATGCCTAGGTATTCTATAGAATGCCGGCTTTTCATACTTTGCCGGTAACATATATATTTATAATGAGTTTACTGTTTCGTACTGTGTCAAACGACACATCAAACTGCCATGAAATTGCTCATGCACTTTTGGAATCTGCATCTTTATTCATTTGACTATTCAACGACAACTATCGTAACATCTTCAACGACTTGTAAGGTGACAGGTTTATGGCCTCGACCGGGTCGTCACAGATGGCAGTGAGGAATCATTCTACAGAGAGCTTGTTAAGTCGGGCAGACAGTGGCGTAGCGTAGTGGGGGCGGCAAAATTTCACAATAAATAATAATAATAATATATTGTAAAAATTTGAACCATTTCATTTCATATTTTTGTCGCACCTACGATTCGGACCGATTGAAATGAGCACGGAATTTTTCATTACTTATTCTGTGACGAAACTGAATTTTAGTATTTTAAATTGAGATACAGTACCTAAATAAGGGGGCGGTGAAATTTTCCTCCGCTCCGGGCGGCTGACACCCACTCTACGTCACTGCGGGCGGAGCTAGGTTTATCGGGGCCTAGGGCTCTTTGAAGTTTAATTGGGCCCCATTTTTCCAAATCTAACCTAACCTATTAACTATTTTTTACCATACGATGAGTGCTCATTGTCGTCCAAATAAACTGTGTTATCTGATTCTTATTTTTATTATCTTTATAGTGAATTTAATTCCATTTTGTTAATTTAATTACACATTCAATTTTTTTCCATGGATGATTATATAAATAGTATAGTATAGTATATAAAGTATATTTTCATTATCATTTCGATTTATGAATGAATAAAACTAAATTTAAGAAATTATAATGTTTATTACTTTATCAATTCAAAACCTTTTTAATCTTATTAAATTTCTTAGCACCAGTTCATGGGAATCAAGTTTTTAGAATCTGCTCATTCTGTGTATCAGTTCATTGAAATCGCTGTAATCTACCATTTGAAAATTAAATTTTATTTTATTTTTATTATTTATTAAACCTTAACATCTTTTGTGCGTGTAAAGTAAGAATGTAATGAAATTTAATTTGTAATTTGCTGAAGTCAAAATAGCCCTGAAAAATATTTAAGACTATTAAATGTCATTATTTTTTTGTTAGTTTTACTTATAGTAATGCTTCAAAAATTAACAAATAAATATTCTGACAGTTTCTTAAAAATTTTCAGATATATTTGAGTATGATATGGAATAGAGGAAAGCTTGGTGCTGCTTATTATGATACAAGTACTTGTTTATTACATCTATTTTCCGATCAGCCAGAAGTCAATCCCGATTTTCCTTTGGCGAAATTAAGTAATTTATGAATATTTAATATATTTTTTAAAATAATTTTAATTAAGTTACATATTTTTATATTTTATGTATTAATCTATAAAAACATACGCAAATTTATTATTTAAATTACTATTTTATTTAATTTATTATGAAACTTTATATTGAAATTTTTCTTTATTTTGAATACCAAGAAAAATATACGTTGATAATGTTAATAATTAATGCCTACGATTTTATTACAATGTTGGAATAATAACATATAATACAGTATAGCACATACATAATCTATAACAGAACTTATGCTGTAATAATATCGGCACAAAATGGACTTTTGGTGGACGGATCTTCATCTGATGAGAGGAGGCTTGGTCAATCTTTCAAAACTGAATGAAAGCAATACCTATTGAACCATTCTGTTCCAAAACTTTTTAGAGAGCAAATTCTGAACGTTGTTACTTTCCCGGCTTTTATATAGCCTATAACTTAACAGAGGGAAAGTATGGCGCGATCGGTCAAAAAATGACCCTCAAGTTTTTACATTTTTGGACTCAGGGACCTTGAAACGTCGAGAAATGCAAAAAATTCGGTTTTTTCTGTATGTATGGATGTTAGTAGGGAAAATACGTACAAAATGACATAGGCAACATAATTCGAATTTGGCGGTCTCAAGTTCGCAACTGACCATGACACTACGTTATCCGAGCGGCTCTTACTAACCTGTCAAAATGTGAACGCACTCTTCTCATTCGCCCGGGTGTCATGGCCGACAACAAGAAATGATACGTTATGAGTTTTTTTCCTTGCAACGAGTTTTTTGTATAGATGGTAATTTTTTCACTATTTTATCTACTTGTGTAACATTTATTTCAACCCTCAAGAATTTGTTGTTGCACTTAAATAGCTTTTTCCATTAAAAATAACATCTTTGTATTTATTTTATAATTTTGTTTTTTTATAACGTTATATGGACAAAACGACATACATAGACAACGGACATAATGACATACCTGTCATTTAGTCCATAAGAGCTTAGTCAAGGAACTTACCTTAATCTCTTAACGTTTTATTATTTATCAAAAATGTCTTCCAAACAAAGTCTTTCATTATTGTTTAAAAGAAATTTTAGTATAAAACTTTATTTCCTTTCTTACATATTATTTACAAACTTATTATCTTTCACATAACAAAAAACGTGCAACGAATCACGTGACTCGACAAACCTATTTAGTTTTAACTTCTATTCCTAATATGAAGGCAATTAAATCAAAAAAATGTGTCCAAAGCTCCGCCAGAGAAAAGGAAACGAAATATTACTAAAAAGTTACTTGAAGAAGAAAATTTTCCTGATAACTCTCATGATGATGAAGACTGTCCACGCATATATTGCAATGATCTTTTTTCCCGATCTAAGCCTGGAGGAGACTCGTTACGGTGCTTAAATTGTTTCTGTTGGGCTCACGCTTCTTGCGCTGACGTTTCTAAAAGAACCAAGCGTTTCATTTGTGAACTTTGTCAATAATTTTATAGTTTTTACGTGTATGTCATTTTGTACTTACGTAATGTGTCATTTTGTCCATATACTATGGACAAAATGACACATTACGTAAGTACAAATCCATTTTGTCCATAGTATATGGACAAAATGGATTTTCCATAGGAATGGAAAATCCATTGGAATTCCAAAATGGAAATCCAAAATGGAATTCCAAATGGAATTCCAAAATGGATGGTCCATAGTATATGTCCATATACTATGGACAAAATGGATTTTGGATAATCTCAATTAAACTAACGATATTTTTTTTTCTATTATTTTAATATTGTAAATGTTTAGTATATTTCATAGCTAAAGAACCAAAGATAATTGGTGTAGAATATGACAGTGATTTGATTTACCAATAAAGAGTTATAAACCTAAAATAAAACCGTATGTCATTTTGTCCGTATTTCCCCTATATATGGGAAGGGGACGATTTTATTCATTCATTTTAAAGTTTAATAACTCATGCGCTTTTTGTCGAAAATTTCTGAAATTTTGGAGGAATTTAGGGGATTGATGCTATTAAATTTTAGTGATTAAAAGTCGAAGAAGTGGGGAATAGAGGAGGACATATGTCACATCTCAAGCAAGGTCAGACTTAATTAATGATTTTATTCATTATTAGCATTTGTTTTTTTTAAATAAAACTTATCTCTACTCTGAAAATTAAGGTTTTTTGCTGTTTTATAATAATTAATAATACAAAAAGTTTTAAAAATAAAAATATTACAACAGATGGCGCCACACGCAATTTAAAATGTTTTTGATGGGTAAGTTATACAACTCGTTGCTGGATGTTTTTTATAAACATTATAAGTTCTGTTTGTTATATAGTTAATAAGTTGCTTCAGTTTGTTTTATTTAATTTATTTAATAAACTTTACTCCTGTTCATACACACATCATCTGTTACTGTGTGCATCGCTACAATATTGTCATATAGTATAGACCAGGGCAGGCATAGCCAATATACGGCCCGCGGGCTAGATCCTGCCCGTCTAATGAATTCATGTGGCCCGCGTTTAATCTTTCAATATTAGCTACTCAAGTACGAATAACTCGATGAAAAATTCTGATGCCTTAAAAAAAAAAAAAAATTAACATCTAATTGTGCGTCCAGAGTTAACGCTCCATTACAAATGTCTTCAGCACAGCGTAGAATGTTGATAATGCATGATAATGTGAAAAATGTATCTGTAATCTCTATGTACAATTCAGTCTCTACGGGGTGACACCACAATGAGATCTCGCACCACCTCAAAATCTTCCTAGGGCAGTCTCTGGTTCGGCCGCGAAAAAAGTTTTCTTACCATTTCGGCCCGGGGCAAAAACTGTTGGCCACCCCTGGGCCAGGGTGTCAAATGTTTTTTGAGTCCACATGCCATATAGTAAGTATATATAACATTAAAGATGTTTATGTGTGCCAAAGTTTTAGACTTCAAATAACGATATTTAAATAAATTAAACGAATATGCTTTAATTAGAATAAATGCAAAAAAGTTGATTTGAAAAAAGATTGATCAGGTGATAAACAGAAAGGGTGATTGAAAAAGACAGATGATAAATTGAAATCATATGATAAGTTCTGTTCCAGATGATTTCTCCTTACATGCCACTTTGGGCCTGCGTGCCATAGGTTTGCCACACCTGGTATAGGCTGTAACATTATTGAAATAAGATATTGATTAACCAATATAGCTTAAGTAATGGAGAAATGTTGGAATAATTTCATGTCTATCTTTCATCTAATTCTATATCTATCAGATGATTATTCTGTAAGAGCAATTATTTATTGTGACATCATCATAATGCTGGGCTGTAATTTCTAATCATACAAAGGCTATTTTTTAAATAAGGTCCGTTTTTTAATAAGAAGACAAATACTATAAATATCATTAAAATATATTTTTTCCCAAATTCGACAAGTCTACATACTTTTATCTACTTTTCTACATAATTTCTATTTTTGTTCAAACATTTGACATACTGCTCAACAATTTTTTGAATTCAGACTTCAAAGAAATCTGAAAGAAATTCAAAGAATCCATGACTTCAGTTTTCACTTCTTCATTGTCGTTGAACTGTTGACCATCAAAAACTCCTTTAAGTATCGAAACAAGTGAAAATCACTGGGTGCAAGGTCTGGACTGTAAGGTGGATGATCCAGTTGTTCCATCCAAAAGAACTGATTAGACCTTGTGTTTGTGCAGAAACATGTGGGCTTGCATTGTCATGGAGCAACATCACACCGGGAGACAGTAGACCACACCACTTTGTTATCTATGGCGCACTGGAATTTTTTCAAGGTCACACAATAAGCATCAGAATTGATTGGTGTGTCTCTTGGCATAAAATCCACTAACAAAATCCCTTTCCTGTCCCGAAAGACAGTTGCCATAATTTTTTGTGCTGAAAATCTTGAAACCTGTGGAAATTCAATTGATAACATTGAAATCATGAATCGTCAGTCCTCTCAAACTTTGTTATCCACATCACAAATCAAATCTTCAGAAATCAGAGAAGGTTGGCCAGCATGGCTCATTATGCACATTAACCAGCCTGTCCTTGAACATTCTTACCCACTTTCAAATTTTACAGTTACTCATAGCATTATCACCATAAACTTCACAAATCTGATAGTGAATTTCTGCTGCTGCCAAGTTTCTTGCACTCAAGAATTGAATAACAGATTGTATCTCACAATCAGCAGGTGACTCGATTTTCTTACATTTGTACATTTTTTACATTTTTACATCTCAGCACACAGACAGACGATATGGCTGTAAATGGTGTCTAAACATGCGCAAAGCATGCTTGGAGCAGATGCGCATACACACTGCCGCAATCGCGTGTCATTCTCACTCTCATTAACAAACAGGCCTTATTTTAAAAATAGCCCTCGTATTTTTAATTTGTTTAATTTAAAATATATGCTCTCCACCTCAAATTAATATTGGCTTGCCCCTTTACATCGTACTTTCTTTTAACAATAGAGTCGTGTTCGTCATCTATCTAACACTTTCTGGGGTAAAATTTGAATTGAAATAACATGACTTCTGGTTTGTGTTGGAAGCTCTTATATAGTTAATCGGGGCCTCCTGCCCCTAAGGTTTTCATATCTGGTCTATCTTTCAAATATCTAACACTGATCTTGAGATTGAGGAAAGACAGACAGACAACAGTGGGAATTTATAGGTTTACAATTTTTTAAAATTGCAGCCCAATCATCAGATAGATATAGTAAACAAGTTTGAATGTTGATAAAAGTTGTGTTATTATAAAAAATATTTAAATAAATAGACAAACACAAAGCAATATAAAATTCTTAAAGAAAGGTTTTAAACATATTAATAATTTAATTATTAATGATAATAAAATGCATACCTTTTCATAGTAAGTTGGCTTCCTCTGTTTTGTATTTGAACATCAGAAATTATAAAGTTAACACAAGTGTATATTAATAAGTAATAATAAATAGATTTTTAAAAATCAAATTTAAATTTGAGAACTTTTTGTTGTACAGTCCTAAAAAAAATTTTTTTTTTAAATTGTAAAATATTGTTCCATTCCATTTTAAAATAATTAAAATCATTTTAAAATGGAATGGAACGATATTTAAATAAATCTTAAAATTTTTAATGTTATAATATAAACCTGAAGAAGGTGACATATTATTTGTGAAAGTTGTATCTATTATGTATTAATAGTTTTTAAACAGTTTTTTTGTATTTATTCATGTTTGTATAGTCATAAACATCAGTGAAAAGTGTAGGATACATCATTCGTAGAAATGTTTACACTTACAAATGTATATTTAGTTAATTTTGCTTTGTTTTATAACAAAATCTGCTTTATTGGAGTTAACTCTGACAACAATTCTCAATCACTTCGGGAAACCAAGCCTATGCCATGCCTATCATCGAAACACTTCTCTCTTGATGTTTGTTTATATAACATTGCTCACTGTACAATTTAAGATCGTTGACATCCACCCCTTAGTACCCTACTGCTCCTAAGAAAATTACTTGACACCTTCCGTTCACCCACGTGTGCAACATTTCATATTCTCCAAGCAAGAACTGTGTTTTCACATCCACAATAAACAATAACTTTAAAATAACAAGAATTGCAATCACTTGTTTTACCCTCCTACAAAAATTCCATTTTCATTTTTGTGCATCTCCAAAGTTCTTAAAAAGGACACTTCATTAATGTATGTCTTGTTTATGAGCCATTTTGAAGTATTTGGTAATGTTTTAGTCTTTACCAGTAATTATTTTGCTCTCAAATTCCTTTCATACAGTATATCCTTGCTTTTTCTGTAGCCTCAAACTTTTTTCTAATTTCTTTTGACATTATCACACCATTTCATGGTCATCTTGTTTTTGTTAGCAAGGGTTTTTGACTCAACATGGTAGTGATTTTCTTCTATCTTACTATCTCTACTATTCTCCTATATCCTAGTTATAGCCAACGATTGTAGCAACCTTTATGTAGACTACATAGATTACAGTATTTTTGTCTGTCTCTCATTTGATACTCTCTTTCTCTTTTGTTATCTGACTAAATCAAATAAGTTACAGTTTTTATAAACAATTTCTTTCTTTATCACTTTCTGTAGTTTTCTGTATAAAGTTTTTCTCTAACTTTATTTTTCTAAAATTTAATAAGTTACTTTTTATTGTATTACTAGCTGCAAGGACCTGCTTCGCTGGGTTTTTATTTGTGGGCAAAAAGTAACGATAATGAAGATTAAGATAATTACATTATAGCCAATCTTACCCATTTTCACAGAATGCAAGAATTAGGTCCCCCGTTTCCAGACTAATTAGAGAATTTTTATGTCCAGTCAAATGAACTATTTTCAATTTGATCAATTTTCTGGAACGTTTACAATCGTTCTATAACCGAACCAATTCAAATTTGAATTCAAATTCGAAAATTTTTAAAATCAAAATAGAAAATCTTCCACTTTCAACCACTTTCAAGCCCATATCTCCCGCACCCTTATAGCTATCGAGACGCAACCTACATAGTGCACGAATGGAGACTTGGGGCTACTACCACATACAAACACCATTCATGTGCGATGTGTAGTTTTGGCTGAAAAGTGAAATATAGGGACACACACGTCCATTTATATATATATATA